TATTAATGAGGGGCTGGATCCAAGGTTTTTAGCATGCTAGGACTTGGGATATTGAGGTTGTATAAAGTATTATCCCATTTCTGACCTCTGTTTTTCTCCATACATGGGGCTGGGGGGGGATGGCTTAACAGTTAAGAGCGCTGGCTGCCCTTCTGGAGGGTCCAGGTTCAATTCCCAGCACCCACATGGAAGCTCACAAACATCTGTAACTCTTAATTCCAGGGATCAGATACTGTCATCCAGCCTCCTAAAGCACCGGGCTTTGTGTGTGGTGGCGCACGCCTTTAATTCCAGTACTGGGGAGGCGGGGGGCAGATCTCTGTGAGTTAGAGACCAGCCTGGTCTGCAAACCGAGTCCAGGACAGCCAGGGCTACACAGAGAAACCCTGTCTCAAAAAGCCAAAACCAACCAAAAAAAATATGTGTTTTGTCTAAATGTGTATTACATATACATAATGTCTAATGTTTGTAAGTGTTTTGTCTGTGCACCTTCTGTGTGCCTGTTGCTCAAGGAGGTCAAAAGACAGCAGCATCCGTTTTTCTGGAACTGGAGTTAACAGACAGCTGTGAGCCACGATGTTTGTCCTCTGCAAAGGCATCAGGTTTTATATCTGATTTATTGTGTATGTATTTTGACAGTCAGCAGACAACTTTGTGGAGTCTGTTCTCACTTTTTTTTTTTTAATTTATTATTTATAGTGTTCTACCTGCATGCCAGAAGAGGGCACCAGATCTCACTATATAGGTGGTGGCTGTGAGCCACCATATGGTTGCTGGGAATTGAACTCAGGACTTTTGAAAGAGCAGCAGGTGCTCTTTAACCTCTGAGCCATTGCTCCAGCCCGCTTTCCCTCCACCTTTATGTGGGTTTTATGGTTGGAGCTCAGGTTGTCTAGGCTTCTCATGTGGCCCATGTTGGCTTCAAACTTAGTCTGCAGCTAAAGATGACTTTGAACTATAACTTTGAACTCCTGATCCTGTGAAATGCAGAGTTTCACATCCAGTTTTGGCCCATCCATACTCACAGGAACCCTGAGGGCTCAGGGACCCCCAGACTGTTAACCTCATACAACAAGGAGATAGCCGTGGCTCCATGACCAGGACCTCTCCTCCATCTCCTTGGAAGACTTCCTGGCAGAGGGGCTGCCGTGACACAGAGCTGCGCTCAGTGTAGCTTCTGCTAAGAGGAGCGAGCTTCCACCCTCCAGGGTTCAAAGTCCTGACCCAAACAGCTGGACCCTGACCCCAGTGGGAAGCCAGAAAGGGAAGCAAGCCGTGGCTGCAAGCTCATCTGTCCTGCTGTCCGGGACGCCTATCTAGCGCCAGTCACTTAAAAACCGTTTCTAAAAAAGTCCCTTCTTTAAAAGGTGCCCCTGAGAAATCCCATCACCCCCAAACAAAAACAAACAACCAACCCCTCAAAAAAACAGAAAAAAAAAATCCTTATTTTCTCCCAGACCTCGCCTCCTCCTTCCCATTTGTCCATCCACACCTTCCCTGCAAACGTGAAAGATAAAGGATGCCAGTTCCATTTCCTTTATCAGATAGGTGACAGTTTCCGTCTCGGGCGTGAGTCCTGTGAGGGAAAGGGTTGTTGGAAAGTTGGCAGGACACCTGAGGACTTGTGTATCTTCAGTTTCACAGTCGTCATGACCTTCGTTCAAAGCCTGGGTTGTTTGTAGAGTTCCTAGAGTTCCTAGCAGACAAAACGCACCCCAATCTTGGTATAGTGTAATTTTTATTTGATTTTTAAAACATGCTGGTGATTAAACTTAAAATCTTAGAGATAGTTGACAAGGTCTCTATTCTTACTGCCTAATTCCCCTCTCTCTTCGGCTCCAGAGTCCGTTATGTTATTAGTGTTTTCTGTTTGTTTGTGTGTGTGTGTGTGTGTGTGTTTTGACACGGGTTTTCTGTAGCCCAGGTTGATCTCAAGCTTAGTAGGTAGCAGCAAAAATAACCTTAATTAAAGAACTGATCCTCCTGCCTCCCTCTATCTCTCAGGTGCTGAGATTGGAGGTGTAGACCACCACACACAACTGTTTCATTTTGGGGTTCTGAAAGAATCTTGACTGCGTAGCATTGGCTGTCCTGAAATTCCCCGGGTGGACTGGGCTATCCTGGAACTTGCCTCCTAGTGCTGGGATCACGGGACTATACCGCAGTGCCTGACTCAGTTACAGATATTTAAAAAAAAAAAAGTGTAAGAGGCAGGCGGATCTCTTGAGTTCGAGGTCAGACTGGTCTACAGAATGAGTGCCAGGACAACCAGGGTTAGACAGAGAACCCTGTCTGGAAAAGCCAAAAAGAAAAGAAAAAAGTGTGTTAAGCTCCTAGACTGGGGTTTGCCATAGAGTTCCTCTCTGTATCGTGGTGTTCCCTAATGCTCTTGGCCCACCTCATGGGTCTCCACGATTCACTATACTCATCTCTGTCTCTGGGCCTTAGCTACCATTCCCGTCTGTCCCACCCTCCCCGTTTTGGGGAATGAAAACAGTTACTTTCTAAGATCTCCGTACCCAGGCTAATTTCTGAAGATCGCTAGGAATTTGGAGGCTCCCTGAACTGCCAGGCAAGCCAGGTGGCTACCTTTGTGGTAGGGAGGGGACAAGGAGGTGACAAGGCTGGTGTTAGAGATGTGGAAGGGTCTTTATCAGCACTTGCTGGAGGAGGCGGGGCAGGAAAGGGCTAGGCTGTTGCAGTCTGGCAGACACTTCCCCAATCCTCTTTACACACAGCTTTTCCCAAGGGTAATCCTGGTGTCCTTTTGGTCACATTGCCCTTTGTGACATCTCCTCCCCTTCAGGGCAGCTGGATGTGCAGCTCCTAAGGATGATGCCCCCCCCCCCCGCACCCACCCCCAAGTCCTGCATTTCCGGAAACCTTGGTCTTTCCCTCCTCTGAAACCTCACCTGCATCTGTGCTTGGTGATTTGTAAAGACTCAGTGTGTGTCTTCCTGAGCTGCCACTGCCTGTCACTCGTGACGGAGGAAGACTTTGAGGCTCCAGGAGTCTTGTAGCCCTAGAACTCTGGCTTGTGCAGAGGCTCAGTGTGAGGTCAACAAATGCTTTATTTTATCTGTTTGGTGATAGAACCCAGAGTCTGTGCACGCTAGGCCAAAGCTCTGCCATTGCATGGTCATGCCTGGGTTGTCTGTATTTTGAAATAGGATCATGTTAAGTTGCCCTTGCTGGACTTGGACTTACTGTATAGCCTAGAGAGGCTCTGACTTTACCATCCTCCTGCCTCAGCCTCCAGAGTACCTGGGATTACAGGCTGGGGTTATGCCCAGTTGAACTTCATCTTTTTTTTTTTTTTAATAATTTATTTACTTTTATTTATATTGGTGTTTGGCCTGCATGTGTCTGTGAGAGTGTCTGATCCCTGGAACTGGAGTTACAGACAGTTGCAAACTGCCATGTGGGTGCTGAGAATTGAACCCGGGTCCTCCGTAAGAGCAGGCAGTGCTCGCAACCCCTGAGCCATCTCTCCAGCTCTGAACTTCATCTTTTAAAGTCTATTTTATTGTGTTTTTTAGACAGAGCTTTACTGTGTAATGCTGGCTCTCCTAGAGCTTACTGTGTAGACCAGGCTGGCCTATGAACTCGAGATCCCGCTGTCTGTATGGAGTTCTGGGTTTAGGCCTATGCCACTGTGCCCAGCCTTTTAAAGTCTTGTTTTAACAAGGCAGGCCCTTGGAGCTCTGCTGTTGGAGCAGCCTTGATGGAGGAATTTCCGCTAAGACCGCCTTAGCCCCATGGCTTCCTCATGAGGTTATAGCCAAGTGGTGGGTGTCCAGGCGCTAAATTCAGACAGGTTCTGCTCAGCTACCCACTACCTATATGTGGTCATGGACAGATCCTTTAACCTCTGGGGCTTTCTGTACCTGTAAAATACAATGTCCCTAACTGTTACTGTGAGAATCAACAGTGCTAATGGGGCCAGTAATCTCAGCACACGGCATACAGGAAGCCGAGGCCCAAAGATCGCCGGGGGTCCAGGCCAGCCTGGGCTACATACTGAGATCCCATCTCAGAAAACAAACAAAGCTCCTGGGTATGGTGGCCCAGGCCTTTAACCTTAGCAAGGCAGAGGCAGGTAGATCTTTGCGTTTGAGACCAGCGGTCAAGAGCACTGGCTGCTCTTCCAGAGCACCCGGGTTCAATTCCCAGCATCCACACGGCAGCTCACAACTGTCTGTAACTCCAGGATCCAACACCCTCACACAGACATCCGTGCAGGCAAAACACCAAGGTGCATAAAACAAAAAAATTACTTTTAAAAAATTACTTTTTCAAAAAAGGTGTGTGCCTGAAGTCCCAACACTTGGGAGCTGGAGTAGGGGGTTCAAGGTCATCCTTGGCTACAAAACTAGTTCAAAGGCAATCCGGGCTACAGGAGAGCCTGCCTCGGCAACCGGCTTAGTACTATGAAATCAGCTGCATGGGGGTTCCAGGTAAACACTTGTTTTGAAAACTGGACGAAGAAAGCTACCTAAATGCGCACGACCGAATGAGGGAACCGAACGAAGACTTGCATCTCTTCGAGCAGACGCCTTAGGTGGATGGAGACCATCCCGGGGCTCCCTCTGTGTGCGGGGAAAGGGACGGTGGGGTGGTGCCGTTATTAGACATTTCTTTCCCTGCTCTCGTCACACGCGGCCACGCCTGTCCCTCTGGTCCATCCCGCCTCCCACTCGTGATGAATCCCAGGCTCTTGTTCCTAAAATCTGGAATAAGGTAGGAAAAGATGAAGTAAAGCGGTTCCGGAGAGAGCGAGGCC